CCATAGAGTGACTGGCCATCTGGGCATCTTAAGTGTCCGTCAGAGATTCCCGCACTGTCCCAAGACAGAGCAGCAGAGGCTGCCTGGCCTTTTCTAACACACCTGGGGAGTCACACAGAGCCACGTCTGCCATGTGCCATTCAGGATGCAGCACCCCCCAGACGAAGACCGTCACAGAAAGCCTGGCAGCTTTCAAGTCCTCCCTGACTTGACGGCCAATCCTGGCCCCTCCGGCTCTCCCACGCTGGCTCCTCTGGACCCTCTCCTCCTCTGTGTCTCCCTCCTCTGCTCTCCGGCCCCCCGGCCGCAGGGGTTCACATCGTGCCCCAAGAATGCCAGTGAGGACGTTCCCACCAGGGAGCAGGGCCAGCTGTTTTGGCTTCGGAGGCCCCGGCTCCACAGGGGTCTCGTGCCCTCACACCCCCCATCCTCCCCGGCCATGTGAACACAACTGCATCCCAGGGAAATATCTGTGATGGTATTTGGACAAATACCCGTGATCTGAGCTCTTCCTGTGGCATGGCCACAGAGCTGTCAAACTTCTGAAGCAATACTTTTATAACTGAAGTGTATTTTGGGTGCTGGAAATGTAAAGTTCAGTGCTAGAGCAGGTGTGGCCATGGACTCAGCCCTAATGGGACAAAATGCACAGTCTGTGGATTTCTACCACAGGTTTATATTTTTAACATTTACAACCAATAAACGTTAGCTCCAACATCAACATAAGAAAAGGAAGACCATAAATCCTTCCTTTCTAGTAGTAAAGGGAACGGAGTCCCAGACCATAACGCTCGCTGTCATATTTTAATAGCAACTGTTCACAGACTCTTGCCCCGTGCCAGATTCTGTACTAAGCTCTTTGCATTTATCGTCTCATTGGGTCCTTAAACAACCCTATTATTATTATTATTCCCATTTTACAGAGGGAGAAATTGACGCTTTGAGATGGATAGTCACTTGCTCAAGGTCATATGTTAGCAAAGGGCAGAGCCAGGGAATGAACACCCGCGTCACTAAATGAATACTGCATTCATATCCCTGTCACTGAAGCTGTAAGGGGGCAGAGTATTTCACAATCTACACATGGGCATTTACTGAAGTAACTGATTGGAATGCTCTGCCTTCGAACAAGTTGATTGTCACATGAAACTTGGAGGTACTGGGGCTGAGGGGGTTTGACAAAATTGGGAGCTAGTAGATGGCTTTGCCCTGGAGCTCAGCCCTAGACCAGGGACAAGTGAGGTATTGTCTTAGGGGATTCCTTAGGCACAGGGGAAGCAAGAAAAGGCAAGGAGATGCTCCTTTTGTGGAGAGAGATTCTGAACAGGAAACAATAGAGAAGACCAATGACCCGCAAAGCTGGTTCTTTGAGAAGATCAATAAAAATAATAAACATCAGATAAACAACAAGGTCCTACTGTATAGAACAGGGGACTATATTCAATATCCTGTGATAAACCATATGGAAAAGAACATGAAAAAGAATGTATATATGTATATATTTATGTATACGTACAGTCACTTTGCTCTACTGCAGAAATTAACACAACATGGTAAATCAACTATACTTCAATAAAATTTTTTAAAAAGCAATGTCAAACTAAATAAAAAACAAAACTCAAGTCCAAAAAAATATGATAAACATCTAGCCAAGCTGATCATGAAAAGGAGAAAAGACACAAATCACCAGTATCAGAAATGAGAGCACTGACACCGCTACAGATCTTACAGACAACTTGGAAAAAGTGGACAAATTGCTTGAAAGACACAAACTACCGAAGCTAACTCTAAAAGAAACAGACGATTAGATAGATAAGAGTACTCTCTATTAATAAAATTATATTCGTAGCTAGAAACCTCCCCACGGAGAATACTCTAGGCCCATAGGGCTTCACTGGTGAATTCTGTCAAACATTTAAGTTGAATAATTATCTCAATTTTACCCAAACTTTTCTTAAAAAGCGAAAAGGACTCAGTTAATGAATCAGCAGTATTACCCTGGTACCAAATCCAGACAAATTTTAAGAAAAGAGAACTACAGACTGACATTCTTCACGAACATGGAAGCAAAAATGCTAAACAAAATTTAGGAAATCAAATCCAGTGATATAAAAAAAGGAGAATGCATTGTGACTAAGTGAGGTTTGTCCCACGAAGGCAAGGTTAATTGATTAGAAAGTCAATGTAATTCATCATATTAACAAACTAAAACAGAAAATCATACGATCATCTCAATAAAGATAGGAAAAAGTCTGACAAAATCGAACACCCGTTCCTCATTAAAAAAAAAAAAAAACTCTCAGAAAACAATGACTAGAAGGAAACTTTCTTCCCTTGAAAAATACAAACTATCACAACCTCACCATACACCAAAGTTAACTCAAAATGGATCACAGATCTAAACATAAAACCTAAAACTATAAAACTTCTGGAATATAAGGATAAAACATTTGTGACCGTGTGTTAGGCAAAGATCTCTTAGATTTGTCATAATCTATAGCTTTTACATACGCGTGATCTGTGCATGAACAGTGTGAAATTTTGAATTGCATTAAAATTCAAAACTTCTGCTTTCAAAAGACTCTGTTAAGAGAACTGAAAGACAAGCTCTATCATGAGAGAAAATATTTGAAAATCATAGATCTGATAAAGGACTTTTATTCAGAATATATAAAGAACTCTCAAAACTCAATCATAAGCAAACAAGCAACCTGGTAGAAAAATGGGCAAAAGATCGGAAGAGGCACCTCACCAGAGAAGATCTATGGGTGGCCAAGAACCACATGAAAAGTCGCTCTGCATCATTAGCCATCCGGGAACTGCGCATAAAAGCCACAGTGAGGTACCACTGCATACCTGGGAAGACCGCCACATTGAAGATGGACCACACCTGTGCGGGGTCTTCCTCAGCTCGTTGCTGGTGAAACCTGGTGGAGTTTCTGGAGGTAAAAGCCACGAAACCGTGGACGTGCCCTAAGCCTGCAGCCCTGGGAGTTTCTCATGCTCACAGCAGCCCACACTCAGCCTCCAGCAACTTGTCATTTGAACAAAATGTTCCTCCCAGTTTACGGCTCCTGCAGCTCCCGTTGCAAGGAAGTACATTGTACTTACGGCCTTCTGATGGTTTGCCCTTTGACCCCAATCTCTGACGTGTCCGAGAAAAGTCATCGATCTTCAGGCTGTTCAGGATTTTTCTTGTGGTGAGAATGGAAGTGATGCCAGGCTGTTTACATGCCAGAGCTGAGACTGAAGGTCAGGACAACCACTGAGAACAGTTTGGTAATTTCTTAAAGAGTTAAACATACAGCTGCCGCATGATGTGGCCATTCCACTCTTAGGTAGGTATCCAAGAGAAGTGAAGGCAAATGTAGGTAGCAGTTTTGTTTATAATAACCTCCAACTGGAAACAACTGAAATGCCCATCAACGCATGAATGGATAAGCAGAATTCTGTTATATCCATATAACGGAATATTACTCAGCCATAAGAACAGAAAAAACTATTGGTCCATGCTACTGTACATCAACTATAATTAAATAATTAAAAAAATAATTTAAAAAATTAAGATAATTAAAAAAAAACTATTGAAACACGCTACAACATAGATGAATCTCGAAAGAACTGCCAAATGAAAGAAGCTACGCAAAGAAGAGGACATAGTTTATGACCAGATACATAAAATTCGGACATCTATAGGGACAGGAAGCAGATGGATCACTGCCAGGGGATGAGGCACTGTTGGGTGGAAGCAGGAGGGAGGGATGGTACAGGGGCATGAGGGGCATTTAGGGGATGATCGTGGTGATGGCTGCACAAGCACGTACACATGCCAAGACTTACTGAATGGCTCACTTTAAACGTGCAATTTATTCCATACCAATTATACCTCGATTAAGCTCTTTAAAAAAAGAGTCTGAACAAAGAAATATTGCCCTACTAGAGATGTTTTTCTTTTCTAAGAGGGAGGGCCATTAGAAACGGCATCTAATCTAGACATTAGAGATTTTCAGCTGTGATTCTTGAAGCCTGAGGCAGAATACGATTTGCAAAGACGGCCACCACCGTGTCTCATGCCCAGGTGCTCTTACACGTGACCTGCCTCTATAATGCTGTCCCCTCCCCTTGAACCTGGTGACCTTGTGACCACCAGTAGAAAGGAGTGGAGGAAACACTGCATGATGTCCGAGGCTAGGTCACAATAGGTCATGCAGCCTCCACCTGGTTCTCTGGAAACTTTTCTTAGGGGAAACTGGCCACCAAATAAGAATTCTGAGCACACAGAGACCCCCATGCTGGAGAGGCCACGCGTGGGCACTCTGAGCGACAGTCCCAGCTGAGGGCGCAGCCAACGGCCACCATCGACCACCAGCCATGCGAATGGAAGACCTGGGATGTCCAGGCCAGGGGAGCTGCCTGCAGCCCAAGCTGACACCTGGCTGCACCCCCACGGTAGACCGCGGGGGTAACTGCCCAGCTGAGCTGCTAAATGCCTGATCTGCAAAATCGTGAACAAAATAAAAGGGCTTTTGTTTGATACCAGTTTGTTCTGGGGTAGTTTGTTACAGGGCAATAGTGGCGAGACTGGACCCTGTCAGGGATCACGGTACAGCAGGCAGAGGGCAGAGGATCTAAAGGGGTGGGGGCTCTGGGACATTTGCTCAGATAAGGACGACTTTGATTGGTTGAGGAAGAGGTCCTCTGATCCAGCCCAAGCCCTTCACCTTGGAGATCAGGTTACAGAGGCAAGGACAGAATAAAACTAAGTTAGGACAGTTTATATGGCTAGTAAGCGGATGCGCTGGTTCTCACAATTGAACCTTACAACTCCGAGTCCAGGGCTCCAACCTCAGCACTTCACCCACCCATTGGGCCATGGGTTAACCCCCAGGTCGGTGCGGTACTCTTTTAACGGACCCACTATCATCTCAATAATATAGACTTTAAAAAAAAATGCAAGTTGTTGATCTTCCAAAAGCAAATCTATTTATTAGAGTAGGGTCATCAGCCCTTGTATTTATGAACTTTCAATGCTGATTTGGGAGAGCTGCTTTTAATCCAGCAGATTATTCCCACATGTGTGTAATGTGTGACTATAACTTTGTTTTTAAAACATTACCTAAGGAAGCACGTCTTTAAGAAAGTTGTAGAAAGAACACAGCGCTCTCGCCCACATATATTTCGTTCCAGTTTCCACCTATGCAGTGCTGGCAGCTCCTTTGAGCATCTGCTGTGTTACCTGTTCCCTTCTTCCCCTGTAACGCCAGGGGCTTCGGCAGGCCAGTAAGCCACAGTCGGGAATGCATTCAGAGACCATTAGTACAGGAAGCAGGGTGAGATCCAAAGAAACCATGAACCAGTGAGTTGGAAAACACTCCATGAAAGGCCTTTTCAGCCTGTTTCTTTCAGGAGGAGTTTGTTTTTGGATTAAAGGAGTTTATTCAGGTATTCACAAATACCCAGGCTCTGCACCAGCTGGAGAGTGGAAACCCGTCCGTCATGATCAATTGCTGTGCAGGGGACTGGCATGTTCCGACTGGGGAATACACGGATGAAAGCGGCGTAATTAGGTGACACGCCTTCAAAGGAGATGAAAGGCCCAAAACATCCTCAAAAACGTAGGCAAAAATATACCCTGAAATCACTACTTTCTTTATTTTGGATGTAGCAGTTCCAGTTAAAGGCTGGGTGTCAACGGCATGGAATGCAGCAGTCTTGCACTGGGGTTCTTTCATTCTTTTTCTTTTTTTCTTTCCTTGCTGGGGGAAGAAAAATGATGAAGTGTCATTCCTATATTTCCTCCACTCCATTGGCAAGTGGTGTAAATTCCTCCCTCCTTAAAGGAACCTTAGACTAAGTTGATGCTTTCATGGCCTTCCACTCGGGGAGGAGAGGGGACGAGAGGACCAGGAGCTAATGGCACAAGTGTCTGACAGCCCCCACCCCGTCCATCAAATTTTTCTCTGAGCTTTCTGAATGGCTCATTTGTATTCTCAACTCCTTTGCTTAAAAAACAGGGTCTTTTCTCTGTTTATATTGCTAAGAAAACACACAAAGTTCCGTAATCTTCTTGCAAGCTCCTTTTCCTTAGACAATTCTTATTCTCTGGTTTTGTTAAACTCAGGAGACTGGCAGGTCCTGATGATGAGGCAGTTCTGTAGCTGGGGGACCGATCCATCTACTCCCCTCCGCTGTTCATTTTCAGATGAGAAAATGGAGCCCCAGTCAGGCTGGGTGTCCTCCGAGCAGCAGGACTAGAGGCAAAAGAGAAATTTGGGGGATTTCGATCCCCACGTGAGTGCTCTCCCCACTGTTCAAAGTATTCCTTTTCCGTTTGCCCGTAGTTTTAATCCTTTAACGTCACACTCTGACTGCGTTTGCAGCACTCGTTAACACATATTTAAATAATTATGGGAAAAGCCGCGTTCTATGCATCCTTAAGCACTTTGCCCTCTGGGTTCCTGCAGCTGGATCGCGGAGCTTCAGCGATTTGGCACACTGCAGTGGGCGCTCTGACGGCCTCTCCTCCCGTGTGGTCTTCAAGCAGCCGCAGGACACCTGCCTTATCGAGCCGCGGGTCTCCAAGATGCTCGCACAAACTCTTGGCTTTTTCTTTTTCTTCTCTCTCTCGCTCCCCCTTCCCTTTCCTGCCTGAATTCGAGGGTGCAGGATGAATGTGCTCTCGAAAGGCCATTTTGACAACACCACTAAATATGGATTCCTCTTGGTTGCCAGGATTTCTCCAGTTTAGATCAGGGCTGCACGGAAAGGGATGGGAGGGTATTCATTGCCAAGACAGTGGTTATAGCTTGAAGTAGAAAACATATATATATATATATATATCTCCTGAGGTAGAAGACATAAGTATATAGGTATATATAGATAGACAAATATGTCTTCTTTGTCTATGTGTGTGTGTGTGTGTGTGTGTGTATCCAAACGCGGAATCACACTGTCGTGTGCTTTTGTAGTAGAACGTTATATTATGCTCATTTTCCTTGTCAATACGCCTAAAGTTAATGGCATGATATTTCATCATACGGAGGAGCCATCAACTTCAAAACCAAGTGTCTGCTGATGGACAAACAGAAATTTAGTTTGTTTATTTAATTTTGCTATTACTGACAGCATTTGATAGACACCTTCGCATACATACACACCTTTTCAATCTGGTCTGAACACTTACTTGGGACAAATTCCTACAATGTTGTCCTATAAACGTCTGCACATTTTAAATGCTGACACATATTGCTCTTATTGGGGTATAGTTGCTTTACAATGTTGTGTTAGTTCCCACTGTACAGCAAAGTGAATCAGCTATACATATACATACACCCCGTCTTTTTGGATTTCCTTCCCGTTTAGGTCACCACAGAGCATTGAGTAGAGTTCCCTGTGCTATACAATAGGTTCTCATTAGTTATCTATTTTATACGTAGTATCAACAGTGTGTATATGTCAATCCCAATGTCCCAGTTCATCCCACCCCCTTCTTTCCCCCTTGATATCCACACGTTTGTTCTCTACGTCTGTGTCTCTATTTCTGTTTTGTATATAAGATCGTCTATACCAATTTTTTCAGATTCTACATATACGTGTTAATAAGCGATACTTTTTTTTCTGACTTACTTTACTCTGTATGACAGTCAAAAAGACACCTGCGACCCAGTGTTCAGTGCAGCACTATTTACCATAGCCAGGACATGGAAGCAGCCTAAATGGCCACCAACAGAGGGATGGATAAAGATGTGGTTCATATATACAATGGAATACTACTCGGCCATAAAAAGGAACGAAATTGGGTGATTTGTAGAGACGTGGATGGACCTCGAGCCTGACGCATACTGCTCTTAAGAAAGGTGGGGGTGATTGAGAATTCCATCCCCTGTGTTAGACGATGCCCGCTCCCCCCTGCCTTCACCAGCACCGTGTCTGGTCAATAAAAGCAGTCTTTGCCCATGAAATTTTGAAATGTCCCATCGACAGAGGAGGTTAGAATGGAAGGGTGAGGAGGGCCTGGGCTGGGAGGGGGTGGGCAGGGGTGCTTGTGGAGAAACTGGGACTCTTGTGCACGGCTGCAGGGGGATGGTGCAGCCACTGTGGAAAACAGTATGGCAGTTCTTCAGAGAATTAATAAAATTACTATATGACCCGGCAATTCCACTTCTGGGAGTACACTCAAAAGAACTGAAAGCAGGGACTCAGACACTTATACACCCACGTTCATAGCAGCATTATTCACAAGAGTCAAAAGGTGGAAGTAACCCAAGTGTCCATCGACAGATAAATGGATAAACAAGACGAGGTCCATCCACACAATGGAATAGTATTCAGCCTTAAAAAGGAATGAAGCACTGACACCTGCTACAACATGGATGAACCTTGAAGACATTATGCTAAGTGAAAGGAGCCCATCACCAGAAGATAAGTATTGCATGATTCCACTGATACGAGGTACTAGACTAGTTAGACTCATAAAGACAGAAGGTAGAACGGTGGGTGCCGGGGGTTATGGGGAGTTAGTGTTTAACGGGGACAGAGTCTCAATTTGGGAAGATGGACAAGTTCAGAAGACGGATGTGGTGATGGTTGTACAACAAAGTGAACGTACGTAACACCACTGAACTGTACACTTAAAACAGGTTAAATGGTTAAGTTTTATGTTGTGTCTGTTTTACCATAATTAAAGGAACACCTGACAGCAGTAGCACCCACGAGGGGCGCCTCCCTCACTACTTGGGGGCCCCAGAGCGAGGCGTTTGGGAGCCCCGCCCCCAGAGGGCCAGTGATGAAAGGAGGCCCTTAGAGTTGACACAGGGTGGGGGGCTGTGCCCGGTGTACCCAGTGCAGGGGCGGCCCTGTCCCATCCATCCAGGCCCAGGTGCCATCTTTGGGAGCCAAAGGTCACCCAGGGGACACGCTCCCGCAGAGAGGCCACCGCACTGCCAACGTGTCAACACGTCTGCACTCAAAGGCACTGGTGGAGATAAGAATGCAGAAGAGGTGTAACCTAAGTGTCATCTGAAAGCTACCAGGGTCTTAGCTGCACTTCAAAGACGACACAGGGCGGGGCCCAGGGACAGCCAGCGCACAGACAATGCGGTGGGCCAGTGATTGTGACTTATTGTGTTCCACCGCTGGCGGGCGGCTGGCGTGTGAAAAGGTGGCGGGACCTCTCCATGGGGCTTTACGGGGATGGTGACTGATAAATCCCAGGAAGGGTCAAGCGAGCTCTGAGCGGGAAGGGACACCTTGTCCCCAGCAGCAGCTGAAGTCTTGAGCCCCCGATTAACCGATTAACCACAGTGAGAAGAGCCGGGAACACAAGAAGGAGACTCAGGCAGCCCCAGGCGGGAGGCGCGCAGTGTGCCCACGGAATTTGACTCACATTCCAGGAAGATGAATGAAGGCGGAGAATCTAACTCCCCCAAGTCTGGGTTACTTTAGTCCAAATTAAGAAAAAACCCCAAGTGCCTGAAAGTTCCCTGTACTAGCAAACACGACGCCTTCTCTGCGAATGGCCGAGGAAACAGGATTCCCACCATTTGGTGGTAGTTTCGTTTCAGGAGGAGTTGGTGGGGGGGAGGGCAGAAAAGAGCGCATTGCATACCTTCCGTTGGCCTCCGGGGTGGGGGTCAGGAAAGGGGGGCCAGTAGGGGCCGGAGGTGAGAGGGAGCTGGTGTAGGAGGGATACACTCCCCTTCCCTGTGGCGGAAGCACAGGGTGGGGAGTGCAGGGGGATGGGAAGTGAGCCCAAACAATCACAAATTATTTGGGTCTTTACTTGAGGACCGCAAGAAGCCCTGGGGCGGTTTCAGAAGAGACGGTGGGTTCCACGGCTCAGGGTCACGTCTCAGGCTGAGCAGTGGGGAGTGCGTTGCATTGGGTGGGGCAGGGAGGCAGCTGTTGGGGTGTCCGGGGCGAGCTGATGCTGCGTGGGCCAGGGGAGTGGCCGTGAGGATCCAGAGGTGAAAGGAACTGGGTGAGGCTTAATGGGGTTCTTAATGAGCTTTTCCTAAAGTGCTTTATCACAATTTTTTTTTTTAGCCAGCTTCTGCATTCTGTCTTAGAAAAGAGGTGACATAATTTGTATGGCGGGCAGATCTGGGAAAGGAGATGGAGGGAGCGTGCAGAAGCAGAAAAACTAAAGACATGGTTGGAGGCCGTTTCCTCTGCCAGAGCTGTCATGACTGTGGGAATCTCATTGACCACATCACCTCCACTCTAGCGCAGAAAATAGCAGAGAGCCGGCACCCAGTGTCAGGAGGCATCAGAGTCCAGAGCCCTCTTTACTGCTGGCGAGCCGGGGCTGCCTGACCCTGACGTTGCCTGCCGGTTGCAGGCACAGACGTCCGTGGCGCCCGAGCCTGGACGCCCCCGTTGCTCACATGTTAATGCAGAGCTCTGGCCCTTAGCCTGTGCAGTCTGGTGGGTGCCAGGATGACCAACTGGGTGAGCCGCCCGGGATGGCATAAGTCCAGCATGTGCCGCCCAGTCTGCTCCATCGGCAGAGCAAGTAGACACCCCAATATGGAAACGTGGGGATGGAAAGGCGGGGGCCCCCAGAGGGGCCATGACTCACCTTGGTGATTCGGATCAGCAGGGGTGCGCTGGCGGCTGCGCATCTGCGTGGGTCGCAGGCTCCAGGCGGCAGTTTAGGGACACAGCCCGGGATGAGTGGCCGGGGCCTCGGGTGGGGCTCATTGCCCATCTGGTCCCAGTGTCCTCTGGAGTAGGACGAGTGGCTGGCCCTTCCATGGTGAAGGTCAGGGTCAGTTTTAAACCCGCTGAGTCTGCAGTAACAGAGGTATCGGAGGAGACCTGTCCGAGGCCCAGAGGAGCAAAGAGCAGAGCCCAGGAGCGAGACTGTGGCTGGGGATGCCGATTCAGACTCAGCGGGAGGCTGACGGGAAGACAGCTTGGATGCTGGGATCACAGCCTGGCTCCAGAGCCCCACTCCGTCCCCTGCTGCTGTGACGCTTGAGGCCACTGGCTTCCTCCCTCCTGTACCTCAGTTTCCCCATCTGTGAGGGACAGTAACAACCCCCCCTCCCCGAGTTCTGGGAGGTCAGGGAGCTGCATGTGGAGGATGCACGGCACAGAGTCGGCCTCCAGAGATGTGGGTTCATGGTTTCCGCTCCCTGCTCAGCATTTTGCTCTATATTCTGGAATCAAGAGACGTCAGACTGTAGGATAAATTATGAGACCCATACGGCCCAGGTCAAACTTGCCTAGACTGCTAAAAACACCTCTGATCTAACTCTGCAGAACACTGAGTGGTTTAACCTTTCGGGTTCTTTAAATAAACTCTCTCTGCTCTGAATGCCATTCTAGCTTGGACTGGAACCAACGGAGCAAACAGCCCCTCTGCCATTGCCCCGTGCTCGCTGGATGGGCCTCCTTACCTCCTCGCCGGGCGGCGGGCTCGGGGCCGCCTGCAGTTCAACTGCACGTGCCAGCCGTGAGCGAGGGCCTTGGAGAGACAGCCACAAATGTCCTTGGCTTGATGGAGACATTGCCTTTTGGGTTACTCCACTACCGGGATGTTCTGCTTCCTGCCAAAGATGGTCAAGTCAGGGCACATCTCCCCATTTTAGAGAAAACAACAGTTTTACAGGAAAACTCTGAAGCAGCCTTTCATGAGCACGAACAAAAGCTCCCATCCCTCCGGCGCATCTGGGGACCCAGGAGATGGCATGGAGTGATTTGTGATTAAGATGCTCCCTCTTTTCATGTGCAAGAACCTCCTGGAAAAGTGGACCTGAAACAGCCCAGTTCCAGGGGGGAGGCTCCCTGATGGCAGGTCACTCCCGCAGACGTCAGGATTGAAGACCCCGTGAGGTTATGATGCTGACTCCAGGTCAGACTCAGGGAGACCCCATCCAAGCTCTGCGACCTCGGGCATCTTCTTACTTATCTTTTTGTCTGTCTATAATGCTGTTGTGAGCATCACATCAGACCATGCGGTGGATGACGGATAAATCACTACAGTTTACTGAGTGCTTGCCACACACGAGGAACGAATGTAACAGCGTCTCGTGTTATCAGTTTTTTAAAATCCCGAAAATAAAAACCCTGTGAGACGCTTACCATCATCCTCACCTCTCAGATGAAGAGGCTGAAGCACGGGAATGCTAAGTGATGCGCCTCAGGTCGCCCAGCTGGACAGTTCGGTCTCTTACCAACCATAGCACGTCCCCTCTCGTGTTACCTTTCCTTCTTCTTATATTACTCTTGCTACTTTCCAACCCCTCCCCCTGCCATCTGACAGCCCAGCTCATTGATGACCTTGTCCTAGTTTCTTTTCCCTCCTGGTTCTTGTTGCATGAATAATATGCATGAACTTGACTCTCCCAGATGAACTTGAATTGTCTTTCAGGACTGGGGCTCAAGCATATCCCTTAGGAAATCTCCCCGGGTCCCTGCAGTCAAGGTCATGGCTCCCTGCTCTGTGCTTATCTCAGTGCCCGGTGTCTGTTCTTCCCATTGCGTCTGAGAAACGGTCACTCATTCTTCCTTCCCACTGAGGCTGCAGTCTGTTTCTCCACCCCTGAACCTGGGCTTGGCCGTGGGACATGCTTTGGCCAGGGGGACTTTAGCAGATACGACGGGGGTGCTCGTGCCCGGGGCTCCACCCCTGGCTGCTCTTGGGACGCTGGGAACTCATGTGAACAAGCCTGGGCCAGCCTGCTGGAGAGTAAGGGCCACAGGAGGACCAAGATATGTGAATGAACACTTCCTACCGCATCTAGCGCCCAGCTGGCCACAAAGCAGGAGAGAGCCAGCAGATAGCAGCCAGCCCATTCCAGGCCAGAGGAACCAACCATCCTCCTTACAGAACTGTGAACTAAGTAAGTTTTGGAGTGGATTCTTACGCAGCACTAGCCAGCTGATACACTCATGTATCTCCACTGCCTAGATCAGGGCAGGGACTGACACAGGTGCTCAAGGAATGAATGAATTATGGCTCAATTCATAGTTGGAAGAATGGATGGGGAGGACACCAGAGTGTGACTTGGAGGAAACTTTACCTAAATCAGTCCTGGGAATGCTCCCGTTTCCTCTATTTCCCATCTTCAGCTGCTGTAATGAACTCCACTAACACGTGTCAGCCTGAGTCACCAGGTCAGCACTCAGCAGTAACTTCCCGTCCACTGTGTCACACAGACTGATCTGCAGTCAGCGCTAGAGCTTACTCAGCTGCAGGAACAAATACCCCCAGAGTCTCTTTGGTTTACAACAGCAAAGATTCATACTTGCCCACGCTGCAAGTCCACACACGGTTGGCAGGGGCTTTGCACCTCGTGTTCACCACTAAGGGGACAGCCTTCGTCCGCAGCACCACCTTTGGGGGGCAGATGGAAAAGAGAAGACAGTGAACTCAGTGCTTTCCAGAGTGTCCTGCTCACTCCCCTGCCCAGCATGTAGCACAATGCCCAACAGGTAGCAGGTGCTCAGTAAAACTCAGTTGAATGACTGAATGATGTGGTAGGTCAGTCATGGGGCATATGACTTCCTAGCACCTATGATTCTTTCATCAGAGGATTAATTCTGAAATAAATGTAGACTTACAGAAAAGTTTCAAAAATCACAAGGAAAGTTTCCATTTACCCTCACCAAGCATCCTGTAACATTAACTTCTGACATAACGACGATAAATTCAGCAAAACCAAGGAGTTAATATTGGTAGGGTACTAACGAAACTACAGACTTTATTGGGATTTCATCTTCCTTTCCCACTAATGTCCTTTATCTTCCCAAGATCCAGCCCAGGATCCCGTGTTGCATGTAGTTGTCACGGGTCCTTGGTCCCCTCCAGTTGGGGACAGTTCCCCAGTCTTTCCTTGTATCTTAGGACCTCAGCGTTTCTGAAGAGCGCGGGTCATGTATTGGGTTGGCCAAAAAGTTGGTTCGAGTTTTTCCATAACATCTTATGGAAACCACGAACGAACTTTTTGGCCACCCCAATATCCCATCGACTACTCTTCTGTTTGGATTCTTCTGAAGTTTGCTCACGATTGGCTTGATGTACTGCATTCCTGGCAAGCGTACCCCGGAAGTGATGTTCAGTCCTTTGCAGAGGATCGAATTGAGGGGTACGTGATGCCCACGTGTCTTATTACTGGGCATCACGCATCTTAAAGACACCATGTGTCTTATTATGAGGAGCTATTACTTAGTCCCTCATGTGTGGCATTATTTATATAAGTGATGGTGACTGGGTCTCCTGGTTACGGTGGTGTCTGCCAGGTTTCTCTAAAGACGCTATTTTCCTGGTCACATTCTAATTCAATGGCCAGCATGCTTGTCCAGCTCTGCCCCTGGATGGACGCCACTGGAGGACAGGTCCATCTCTGTGTCCTCATTGTATCCCCAGCACCTACGACCATATCTCGTAGTTTTTTTGCGCTCAGCAACATCTTATTAAATAAATGAATGTCCTGAAAGATATAACCAATTTTCAGGGAGCTGATATTCAGGGAGTAGTGGGTTTTCAGACTAATTATCCTGAACAGAAAGGGCAAATGATTCCATCCATGCCTCTTGCATTTCTCATGTATTTTATTTAATCTCATAGTTTACCTTCTCTATCCTCTGATTCTTACCCCACAGCTGAATGAGGCACTTCATTTAGGGGACCCATGATTTCGGTCCTGTGAAATTTTGGAAGACTAGGTACAAAGCAAACAACCTTTACATAAGCAGTAGAAAATTGATATTTCTTACTGACCCATTTTCATGAAGCCCACCTTCCCCTAGCAGCCATCCTGATTTCCGAGTCTTTGTGAAGGCTCCAACTGCCAACGTCACAGCCACCTCCAAAGGGAGGTTCAGTGTGATGTCTCAGCTACAAGTGACCGGGAATCTGACTAACAGTCGTATAAACAAGCTAGGTAATTATCTCTGTCTAGAGAAGCACACAGGGAGTTCCAGGTTTGTTCAGTGGCTTCATGATGTTATCAAGCCCCAGGCGTGTCTCTCCTCAGCCTGTTGGCATTTCGTCCTCAGGCTACAGGAAGGCAGCCCCAGACGTAGGTATCACATCCTGTCTCGTGACAGTGTCCAAAGCAGATGCGGGGAAGGGGGTTTCTTTTTGCATTTCCCTTATGTCTTCTTGGTGGGAACTGGGTCATAAGACCCTCCCTAATTATAGGAGAGCCTGGAAAAGAGAGCACCCAGGATCATAGCCTCCACCGTGGGAGGTGGACCTGCCAGCACACAAGGGGGTAGGTCTGACTTTGCCTAGACAACTCGTACCATCTGCTATGGGGAGCTTCTAGGTGGGGTTTCTGAGTGGGAACCTGGCTGGACCCCAGGGCCATCCAAGGAAGTGGAAAGGTAGAGGTAGTCTGGGGCAGACTTTCTGCATTTCTGAAAGTGTTTTATCAGGTCAAGACCAGAACTGGAATCCAAGTCTCCCATTTGCTATCTTCTTGGTCACAAACCCCATAAAACTTACAATACATAATCACAGTGAAGCCTGCATGAAGAGCAACTGAGGAAAAACCCCATCCATGCAACTTTCCATCCATCCATCCATCCTTCCATTCATCCATCCTCCATCCACCCATCCTTTCATCCTCCCACCCTTCCATTTGCCCATCCATCATTTTATCCTTCCTTCCTTCCATTCTTTTGTCACTTCTTCTCTCCCTCCCTCTTTTCCTCCCTCCTTCCACCCATACTTTCAATGTTTGGGGGAGCCATTTGACCCAGTTATGACCAATGAGGCAGAAGAGGTCTGCTTCTGGGGAATATTTTCACCCCCTTATGTAAGGCAGGGACATTCAAGAGAGGCCTCTTTCTTCTTGGGACGCCATCGGGAGAGAATAAGATGCTCGGAGCTGCCACAGCCATGTTGCAACCATGAGGCAAGACATGTGAGGACGAAGCACTCTGAGTCTCACACTGAGGGTGCACAGTGAGGAGGGAACAGTGCCTGCTCTTCCGGGCTCGCACTCCAGTGCGAGACACAGAGAGAGATGGGCAGTTACAATTCCACGTGAACTAACAGTGTCGGGGGATGTGCTGGGAGATACAACTGGGTGCTGAGGTAGAGGCTCAGTGAGGAACAGAAGGGAGCTAGAGAAGAGAATCCTGGGCAGAGGGCACAGCCTGAACAGAAGAGCACGGAGCTACGATGCATTCAGAATGGAAGGGCTGAGAAAGAAGGTGGAGGTAAGCAGGCTGGACGAGAAAGACAGTGGGACCCCCGCCCCGGCTCACTCTCCCCTGACAGCCCTGGGCTCCCGAGGTTGTACCGCCAGCTCTGTCTCCTTTCTGTCAGGTTCCTCAGCTAAGCTGATGCCCACCCAGCCCATTCTGGGGGCACACTCAGCGGCGAGTTTGGGCCTTGCTTCTCTCCATGATGTTGAGAAAATTCTGGCCTTTGATATCTGCTCTGGACTCCTGTTTCCTGCTCTCTGCGGTCTCGGTCTCGGGGTGGACAGAGGATGACAAGCCCCTCCCTGGCCGCCCCTCCTTGCCCCTCCCCCTTGATAAGTTCAGTATCAAAGGTCCGCAGAGGCAAGCGGCAGAACTCAGGCCTGCGCTGCCACCGACAGGTTCATCGTGCACAGAAGCCGCTGACGGTCTGGCCCTGGGCCGTCACCTCGGAAAGCCGGAAAGCCGGACTCGCCCTGAGCCATTGGCAGGCACGGCTCCTGGGAGAAAACCTCCCCGGGACGTACTATTGAGAGCTGGGGGGAAAATCCCGAAACATAACAAAAGAGTAACAGAAATGAAAATGGCCAGGGACACGGACCCACCATAGATTTTCCTGGGCAAGGTTGGCTGGGGAGCTGCGAGGATGCGCTTTCCGAGAAACCGAGGCCAAAGGAACAAAGGACCTGCCACAGCTTGGCAGGAGCCCCTTCCCCTGTGACATTAACTGCTTCCTGTTCCCTTCCAACGGGGCAGGAAGATGGAAGTGAAGGAAATGGAAAATGCAAACTACACACCAATTTAGCATTTTGCTGCTTGGAGCTCAATTTTTGCTAACTTTGGAAATGCCAGAAGAGAGAGGTGTTTTGTCAAGACATTAAAAAAATTATTTTTTAAGGGAAACAAGACAGGCTATTCATGACCAGCAGGGAAGCACACCTCCCGGGGTGCTCGGCACTCCCACTGCACCCGGTCATTTGATTTAATGAGACGATGAGGCTGCTGTGAGCATCCTCTCTCAGCCCCAACGCTGTGCCACGAGGGCGGCGAGGGCGTTAACTCAGGCACAGCCAGGCTTTGAAGCTTTATTTTGTTTTCCCCTCTGCCCCCTCCCACCCCCTGCCAATTAACACCAGGGAGAAATCACATCCAGGAGCAGTCTCAAGCTGGCCCTGCCAGTAGAGCCACCTTGTCCCCAAGGGCAAGAGGGCGCTTCAGGGCCAGAAGGTGCCCGGCGAGTCTCCAAGCGGAGCGCCTGGCATCAGAGCTGGGATGCAGGGGCGGTGTGCCTGGGCCGCTGGCGTGAGCGGCTGATCACGGGATGACGTCCCTCTGAGCACCTTTGTAGCTCCGGCACTGGGATGCCCTCCCTCCAGAGCCCTGCGTGGCTGCCTTCTCATGCTGCTCGGGTCCGGGCCCAGGTGCCACCTCCCTCAGGAGGCCTTCCCTGACCCTCCCACATCTAAAAATAGAGCCGCCTCCAAGTGGATCACCCTCCGTCTCCTTACCCAGATTTGTCTTGGTTATTTTTCTCTGTGGCACTTGCCACTACTGAAAACACGTTATTTATCTCTTGTTTTCTTTACTTTGCTTGTTTGCTTGTTTTTCTGCCTCTTGCATTAGACTGTCACCTATAAGAGGGCAGGGAGTGGCGGTATCCACTTTTGTATCCCCGGGGGGATACCAGACACAGAGCAGGAGCTTAATAAACATCCCTGAGTGTGTGAGTGTGTGTGTGTGTGTGTGAGCGTGTGATCTCCTAACACGGAGCCTGGCGTGCAGCACACACAGGTGCAATCAGTATCATTCATTTATTCACTATCTAGGCATTTGTTCACTTCACACTCATGACAGCTCTTTAAAGAAAGTATGGACACCAAGGGGGAAGGGGCGGTGGTGGAAGGAATTGGGCGATTGGGATCGACGCATATATACTATCGATACTATGTATAAAATAGATAACTAATGAGAACAGACTGTATAGCACAGGGAACTCTAGTCAATACTCTGTGGTGACCTAAATGAGAAGGAAATCCAAAAAAGAGGGAGTATACGTATATGTAGAGCTGATTCACTTTGCCGTACAGTAGAAACTAACACAACGTTGTAAAGCAACTATACTCCAATAAAAATTTGAAACAAACATTCTTATTTCTGTTAAAAAAAAAAGAGAGAAAGTAGCATAAACCCCCTTTTGCAGTTGAGAAAACTGAAGCTCAGAGAGGTTATGTGAATTGTCAGTGCCGCACAGCCGCGGAGTCGGGTTTGGGGCCCAGGGCTTCCTGACGCCAGCATCCCAGCCACCCTTCTGAGCACCACCTCCCCACCCAACTGCTCGTGCTGGGGTAAGTGGACACTGTCCATCCCGGGAGCTGCCGAGTCTGGCAGGCCCGGAAGTCCCACGAGGGGCTGTTACCTGGGCTCATGCTGTGTTGCCCGGCAGGGTTTCCATTGCGGAGACGGGTCTCAGGGATGGGTGGGATGGCTGGCAGTTGGCCTCTCGCTGTGATAATGACCGCCCTTCATTCAGCCCGTTTGCTGACGGCCTGCAGTGGGTGGTTGTGTTGCACGGCCCTGGTGTCCGTTGGTGAGGGAACGCTGGACAGGACCTGCTATAGAGCATATGTAGGTCAGATTTTATCCTTGTAGCCACACACCTGCCCACGTCTCACACATACACACACACTCACACACACACACACGCCAGGTCATTAAGGCAGGGGAACCTTGCTGCATCCACTGAGGTCATTAGCTCGTGGCTGTTGGTCATTAGCTTGTGGCAGCTGGGCCTACAGCCACGGACCTGAAGAAAGACTCCAGGGCTGAGGACACTGGCACCTTCTAGCCCCAAGGAAGCTGGGCTGAGGTCCTGGTCACAATCTCCTTGATTTGGGGCACGAATGACTTTCCAGTGGACAGCGACGGGTCCTGAAGCCGTGAGGACCCACGCTTGTGTTCCGTGTCTGGTGGGATAATTCGGTGCTGGTTAAAATGGTGCCGACAGAGTGGTCGCTGAGCAGGGACTGAACGTGCCAGCGCCTGGGGCCCAGACCAGGGAGTGGGGAGCCCAGAGGGCTAGAGCCGATGTATCCCGTGGTCGCTCCAGGTTTCACAGTTCGAGGAACTGCCAGGCTCTCTTCCAAAGTGGTGGCCCCATTTCACATTCCCAGGTGGTTCTCTTTGGTAATGATTTTTTTCCTCTTCTGCTTACTTGTATCTTATAAATTGTTGGCAGTGCTTATCTGCCTCTTACAGGTTTTTTTTTTTTTTTCCTGAAAATAACGTTACCTAACAATAGAAGGTGGCATGGAAGACGGGTCATATCTGGCCATACCGTCTGGGATGCTCTTGGACTCCAGCAGTGGCCACATACTCTGAGGCGATCGGGACATCTCACGGGGGCGGGGGGATATTGTAAAGAACACAGGTTCTATGGAGAAACGGGGGTTCTTGAAGGGCTCGCAGGTGTTTGTGTAGATCACAAGACCTCAACTCCAGCAGAGGTTTTATATTCCAGCTAGCATCACTGCTGTGGAAGTGAGGTGCCCCCCCACTTAAAAGTGAGAAGGGGCTCCTGTCCCCCTTTCCTTTCTACACCTGGAGTCCTACCTCCTGACCCTGGGAGCCTGGAACGGAGGCTGCTCTGGGCCACATGGGAAGTTGCCACTAACCACATCAACATCTTTAAAATTAATAACATGAATTCCATAGCGAAGGGGCCTGGGCCAGAGATGGAAGGCTGCTGGCTGCTCCTGGGCCCCATGCGGCAGGTGGGGGGACAGGAAACCTGAGGACAGGTGGGACCTCCAGGTGGGCACTGTCCTGTCGGAACGTAAGACCTTAAGGACTTGGCTGTTACTGGGATCAGATCCATCCAGGCTGATTGGGGACGGGTTCCCCGAGGTGTAGAGCTCTCATTTCAACACACATTGTCATATATTTATGACTTAGATCGAAAATAGGCTCTTTCTACTCCCCACAAATGCACCTTTCCCCTGTGTATTTGGTTTAAAAGGATCCGATCTTTTTATTCGAGGGCTATCCTATGATTCAGGTTTCGTAGAAGTCCGAATTCTTAAATTCTGCAGCTTCAGAGACTTCAGAAGGTCATCCAGCTCAGACCTCTCCCTCTATCCAAACAGATCCTTATACTGACCTGAAGACCAGGAAGGATCCTCTGGGCAAGTTTCTAAAGCTCTTTCTCTACGCTTCCTTATCAGCAAATTGGGCAAAATAATAAGGTCCATCTCAGAAGGATGTTGGGAGGGTTAAATAAGATATGCATGTAATGTTCTTAGCGCCATGCCAAGCACACTGAGAATCTTCAATAAATGACTGGGTTATTACCGTCAGCCGCATCACCAATGCACAGTATTTTCTTTGTGTCCACCTCTCACCTTGTGAAACAATCAAGTCTGCAGTTGGCTCATAAATGAAAGCTCCCTTCCCAGTTCCATTACAACACAGGGGGCAGAGCTCTTAAGTTCATTCCAGACCAGCAGGAACAAGCTCTTACCTTCTCAAGGGCTGAGGTCAGAACACTGGGGCAGCCCAGGTGGCATAGTTGGCATCTATGACGCCGCGCCCTCTAGTGGAAGGACGAGGCTCCTGAACTCAGGTGTGCAAGGAGGCAGGTGAACGGGAACAGGGCAAAACCAGGTGAATTTTCATGCCATCTGAATTCAGTCCTCCTGAAACACAGACAGTAAAAAAGGTAATCAAGATTACAAGGCAACGCAAACAGAAATGCACCCTGAGGAATTTACATTTGCAGTATCCTTTTCGTGCTTCGTTTTCTAAATCTATGCTCAAATCCACAGAGCAAGATAAGAGAAGGGGCCGCTCATACGGAGGGGGCTTCCTTTTGATCTGAAAAAGAAATGTTCTAAAATTAACCGTGCTGATGGTTGCTTAACTCTGTGAAGATACTAAAAATCACTGAATTTTATACTTTAAGTGGACGAATTGTATGGGATGTAACTTATACCGCAAAAAATCTATTTTTAGAAGTTGACTTTTCAAAATGTTTTATTGTTTTTAGATATTCCCCCAATACTTATTTATTATAAAAATAGAAAACACCCATAAAAATAGATTTTTCTCGAAGTATTTATTTGCATTCTTTGAGTTCCACATGCATTTGTAGTTTGCCGCACCAGAGAAGTTTCCCTGAGGTCAGCAGTACATCCCAGCGTGTGCCAGGTGCCGTGGAGACGGGAGACGTGCAAACATGGATGGTGAATCGAAGTCTCTTGTCCAGTTGTGGAGCCCAGACTGATCCTTAGAAGCAACGGGATGAAAAGAGACAAGATGGCTCAGAATAAGGGGCTACATTATTTGTTGAGTGAGTTAAAAGAAGGATATTATTGAAGGTTCAAATAATCCAGGAAGGCTTCGTGAAGGAGGAACCTGAGCTAGAGCTTAATAGGTTTAATAGAAAGGACAAGTAAAATATAGTACAAATAAGTAAACTAAAAGTAACCCAGAGCTAGGATAACAGCCTCAGCTCTCCCTCCTCGGGCCTACCGTCTGTGTCCTGAGCATCGCGGGCGTTCCCCAGAAGACAAGCGTATCATTCAGGGAGGAGAGGGTCCCGCTTCCCCCTCTCCAGTCTCCGGCTGGCACTCCCACTGGCGGACCCCAGCTGGAAGCCAGAGAGCAGGGGCCACTGACACAGACCATGTGGCCAGTCCCCAGGGAGAGAGGATGGAGGAAAGGACGGAAGAGTGATCGGGAGGGCTGCGTGGAGGCGTCCAGCACCTCTAGCTGGGGCTGCAGGGGGTTAGAGTGTGACCCATCCGTGTCCCAGAGGAGAGGGGGTTTTCTCAGGCAGACTGACGGAGGACAGAGATGGGGGCCCTGAGCTGCCCCCGACTTTCAATAGCAGAGGGGCGAGAGTGTCACTTTGATTGTTAGAGTGTGCGGGGCTCTTGTTAAGGTCTCTTTATTCATTTACTTTAGAGCCTCGCTACCCCGCAGGTGAGGTGGTCCTCTGCCATCACCTGGGGGCTGGTTAGAAATGCAGAATCTCAGCCCCACCTGCACACGCTGCCCTAGAACCTGCATCTCGACCAGACGTGCCTGGCGATTCAGGCGCAGGCTGCTCTTGGAGAAGCTCTGCTTTCAATCACCCCAGGGATGCGGGTGGGTGGGGGTGGTTAGGAACAAGCCAGTTAGAGTTCAAAGGTGGGCGTGTCCACCCTGCTGCAGGTATTGGGCCTCAGGCACAGGAAGTCATGGCAGCTGGCCTGTCCGTCCAGCAGGGTGGACACCGCTGCTCCACCCGCCTCGCTCTTCCCTGCAGACGCCAGGAGCAGCCCCACGATTCTCTCCACACAATATACCTGCATCCACTTCTTGTCCATCAGAGCGGGCAAGTGAGATGAAATGTAGTTGCCTGATGTATATATGTAATATCGCCCATGTATAACTTTTGGCAGAAATATAAAATCCACTGATTCCCAGAAAACAAACACCATGCCTGTTTTGTACATTCATTATCCCTGTAGACCCACACAGTCCGTGGCCAGCAAGCAAGAAGCTCAGAGTCCGGTCAGGAGGCGGAGAAATGACATTGACATTGTACGTCCGAAGTACCAGCCCTGACAGAAGTGCCGTTGCTGCGGTCTCCGAGGCCAGCTCTGTCCCCATGGGAGGGAGGAGGAGGGAGGAAATGCCCTTGACCCAGGCCTGGGAGGATGGGCCTGTGTGGCCAGAGGGCACAGACAGGGAGACAGAAAGTCATTCCCACCGAGAAGGAAGCCACCTGCTACAGAGCAGAGTTGAGTCCAAGGCCCGACAGCGGTGGTCACCTGTCGAAAGGTGTGGGTCTGAGTTGGAGAAGCAGCAGGTGTGTCTTTCTTTGGCTCCCAAGCATACCTGAACTGATATTGTTATTTCTTAAACTTCTGGAAGTGAAGTTAAACATAGAAACGACAACATGGATAACCGTGCGTATTTGACGACCATCTTGGAAGTCTGTCAACGCGGAGATTTAAGATGCCCCCTCCCCTTATCTAAAAGCGCTCTGCCTGGGATTGATGCGCCGGTCACCTGTGCATCTTGAGAGCGCTCTGCCTGGGATTGATGCGCCGGTCACCTGTGCATCTTGAACAGATGTTGAGAAAGGCAAAGGTCCAGTTCTGGCGTCTTGCAAACTGGACACGACGGCAAGAGGGGGCTGCTCCAGCTCACGGTGGCCTCACGCCATGTGGACGGAGACGGCTCTACCTGTGGGAGAGCTGGGCTGTCCAGACACTGTGGGCCTGGCAGTGACCCTTGAGAAATGGAACAAAGGGACCTTAAGTTGCATGTGATTGGATTCCACCCGGTGCCTAATGCAGTGTAGACACGAACTGATGGTGGGTGTGGGGCAGCGTGACTTGCTGGGGTGGTGACATCGTGTCACACCGAGATAACCTCTGGCGTCAAAGGAGACATACGCTGGCTGTGCTGTGCACCAGTGAGTAACCTGGGAGATGCAGAAGTACCCGTAGCTCCGAGCCCCTCCCTGCAGTGGAGAAACAGCAGTGGTTAGCGCAGTCCCAGCGCTGAGGGGACGGTCCGTCCAAGTGGTGATGGGAGAGGGTTGTTATCCTCATGCTGTCTTCAAGATGCTGCTAGTGTTACTGCACAGGGAATTTGCCAAAATTGTATTATATAACGTGTTTTATATTAAAAAACATGGGGTGGGGCGGCAGCTCTTAGCAGTATTTCACCCATGAGTGCTGTGTAGGATCCACGAAACGACAGGACCCATGTGCTCTTAAGCATACACACTCCAACTCTGCGTGCGCCATGTCATCGACACGGAAAACACTCCACACTTACACGTTCTCCAAGCTGTCAACACGTGTGGGGCGTGTGGGCTGTCCCCGGGCTGTTGCCAATATCGCAGTAGAGGGAGGGGTGGCTTCAATGATTCAAACCATGACACTTACAGCGGGGCTGGGAGAACCCAGTGATGGGGGGACGGCATCACGGGTGCAGCCTCTTCAGGACCTCCAGTCTCCCGGCGGCCAGTCCGTTCCATGACCTGCTCCACCAACCCTCTCATTCTCCGTCCCTGCTCTTGAATTAGTTGTCTGTTTTCTCTGCAGGTGTCCCTTGGAGACCACACAGCCTCTTTTTTTTTTTGACATGATTTCAGACAAATGGAAGAGGAGCACAAAAATTCTCAAGATGCCCTTCTCCGAGGTTCCCCGAATATGAATGTTTACCTTCTTTGCTGTATCCTCTCCCCAACACACGGAGGAAGTTGCATATAGGATCTGCCTCTCCACTAAATACTACCATGTACGTTGCCTAAAAATGAGGGATTCTCTTCTGTAACCACTGTACAATAATCAAACTCAGGAAACGAAAACTGACTCAACTGTGAGCTAACCTACAGCTCTTATTCAGATTGTCCGATCATCCTAAGAAAGCCCTTGATTGGCTGAGAGCGGATGGACCGACAGGCTGAAGAAGACGTGCCTCGTCTTCAGCCGGCTCCTGCCCTGCTCGGCCTCTCCGTTCCACTCCTGCATCGTTTTCATTTTTGGTCATTTCTAATGATGTCCTACTTCAGAATCAGTAGTCATACTGATGACAGGAATGGTTCTGTATGGGCTTCTCTTTCTGTAATAAATCTCTGTTTCAAGCAACACTCCAAACACTTGCCAGTGGGCCACGTGTTTCAGAGCTATGAATGATCACTGAGGTCTGCTTTGATTTTGAGATAACTTATGAAACTAGTCGTGTGTGTGTGTTTTGTAGGAAGCATGTGTGCCCATGTATGTGAGCACAGAATAATACTGGGGCAGCTGAGTTAGGCTATCCGAGAGGTGGTCTTGAATTTATACAGCCCTCCTGGTTGACTCTGGGAAAGTAAATTCAGTCCCCCGGAGCTTCACCCATCACCTGTCGACTTTCAGGCAAGACCATTGTTATTTAAAGGGATCTGTTTTGTTTCAACATTCTAAGTCCATAGATATGCTGAGAATCTATCAGTGGAATATTATTCAGCCTTAGAAAGGAACGAAGTACTGACAGATGCTACGACATGGATAAATCTTGAAGACATCAAGCCAAGTTAAATATGCCAGTTACGGAAAGACAAATACCGTAGCATTCCACTTCTATAAAGTAGTAGGGGAGTCAAATTCATAGAGACAGAAAGTAGGACGGAAATGGTACAGAGGAACTTATTTGCAAAGCAGAAATGGAGTCACAGATGCAGAGAACCAAGGGGGGAAGCGGGGGTGGGATGAGTTGGGAGATTGGGATTGACATTACATACAGTACTACGTATAAAATAGATAACTAATGAGAACCTACTGTAGAGCACAGGGAACTCTACTCAGTGCTCTGTGGTGACCTAAATGGGAAGGACATCCAAGAACAGGGGATACATGTATACGTATAACTGATTCACTTTGCTGTACAGCAGAAACTAACACAAGAGTGTAAAGCAACTCTACTCCAATAAAAAAAAAGTAAAAAAAAAAAAAAGTAGAATGGTAGTTTCCAGGGACTAGGGGAGGGGTAGGATGGGTTCGGTGTTCAGTTACAGAAGACGAAAAAGTTCTAGAGAAGGTCTAGGTGGTGACAGTTAAACAACAGTTTGAATGCACTCAATACCACAGAACTGTGCACTTACAATGGCTAAAATGGAAATTTTATGTCAGGTATATTTTACCACGATTTTAGAAAACTAAATAATTTTTTAAAAACTTGCATTTCAGAGGAAGCCAGCATTTTAATCCCTTGCACGGAGAAGTTTTGCAGCAGCGCTTACAGCTGTCATTATTCCGGTCCCTCTAAAGCCTTCCTAAATTCATCAGCCACCCCACTGTCACTGTCCCCGGTTCTCTTGAATGTCACCCAGAAAAGTGAGCAACACAGGGACACACTCGTAAACGTTCCTCCCAACGGCAGTTGCTGGCCTGACGTTAGAAATGAATGATTTTCCACTGTACCAGTGACTCTGTTGTGGGTTCTATTAGCACCATATGTTACATGTTTTTAGTAAAGCCTGGCCTTGTGTGTCCTCTGCCATCTGCCCTGGCATCGGCACAGCCCACGTGGTGCACGGAGGCCAAGGGCCTCCTCCACCCAGCATGGTCTTGCACCTCTTCCCAGCCAGAAAGCACGCGTGGGCAGAATGCACGGGACCAGGCGAAAGGTGGATTTTATCAGCTCCGCAAGTCACAGTGAAGTGGGCCCATGTTTTGTAAAACATGTGTTTGGCAAATGATTCCCTGTGGGCTGCAGAAATCCAGATGGAGGAAGTTTTCTAAGTGCAACGTCAGAATTTTACATCTGCTGATCCCAACAAGTGCATGGCGCCAAGGAGAAGAAGCAGGTTGTCTGTCCACAAAATCTGAGAGCACGGATGTGGTTCTGGGGGCTTGTTCAAATCTAGAAGACAAAGGCGCCGTGTCTTCAGCCCCCGCTAGGCCTGGGCGTGGTGAGAGCAGGAGAAGTCTTAACATGGCCCAGAAGGGCTCAGTTTCACAGACGAGGAAACGGAGGTATGGGAAGGTGGGCAAAGTGAGTTGCCCAAGGCTGCCCAAGGTTGGAACTTGAACTTGGGGCCCTGTGGACTCAGTGTGGGGTCCTCTTGCCTCACCACGCTGGACATGACATTGGCAAGTAGCCCCCGACACTGTGGGTCTGCTTGTCTAGGTGCTGCCGTTCACTGCTGTGCTGCTATACCCTAAGTCTGCTGCTGTGCCACTCTGACTCCTGGTTCCCTGTGCGCAGACGGGAGGCTTAGCTGACACAGTGCTCGGTCCATAAGGGACTGATAATGGTGAGTCATGGTACAGGAGAGGCCAACAGGACACGGCCTGGGTGTACATGGCGGGTCAGAGGGGGGGCTGGGGACCGGCTGGGCTGGGAATGGCGGGGCATTGCCAGCAGAGAGGGGCCTGCAGACCCCATCGCCACATTCAGGCTGGGTGTCCTGTGGGCTGAGAGACGGGAGGCTTGTCCGCACGAGCCCTTTTGAGGCTGCATGGCCACGTGCTCCACTTTGACGATGGTACCCGGAAGCCGCGCTGGCTGTCCTCCGCTCACCCCTCCAGATCCGTCCTGCATGCCGCTCTGTGCCTTGGGAGGCTGCCCTGCAGGGACTGTGTGACACTTCCAGTCGGGATCAGCCAATGGGACATGCCAGAAGCAGACTGGAGGGCGGGAGCGGAGAGAGGCCGGGGGCTTCTCCTTTGCACCCCTCTTGCCTGGCTGGAGCCTCCCCAGCTCTCCCCCCTGCCACTTCCAGCCCAGGTGGTAATGGCCCCCCACTCCTGTTAGCCTCTGGATACCTCCCCATCCTGGTTGGTCCCCAGAGCCCTGCCCTCCCGCCCTGACACTGGCTTCAGTTACCTCTGGCGGAGGCTGCTTTCCTGGTGGGACCATGATGGATACAGGAGGTGATCGGCAGACCACAGGAATGCTGACATCTAGATTCAAGGTAAGGACAACGCATACTCTGTACGGTGTGGAAATCCCCTCGAGATCCCACATCAAAGGGATGAAGTGTTAGGGAAAATGCCCAGAGGCCTGGGCTACTTCTGCAGTCGTGGAAAAGTCTGCAGAGACCAGAGCTTATCCGGAGGCCACAGTGACTCCCCTCCCACCCAGATGGAAGGGTGTCTGAGGTCTCTGGGGCTGGTCTGGGAGTCAAATTGGTGTCCAGTCTATTGTATTACTAGCTAGCACCCTCCCTCCTTCCTCCCCCCCCCCCCCCCCCCCCGCCAACACCCTCCACAACCCACTTCCTTTCTTCAGGAAGCACAGAGTCAAAGAAAACACATGTAAACCCCATTCTGGAGCTTTTAACCCAGTTCAGCAGTTATCAGCAGTGGTCCTTGGACTCTGAGGTGTTTCGGGCCTCTTCATAATATGTTGGAATGTTATAAAATCACGCATGGGGAAAAGATCCATGCACAGTTCAGGACAGACCAACAGAATGGAATGTAGTAAGTACAAAACGTTCATTCATTTGGTTTCAGATTCCACATTGCTACTAGTGTTTAAGGGACTACCTCTTGTCGAGTTTTGGTGTAGTATTAATGAATAATACCCATAATTATCCAAAAAGACTATTAACTTACCTCTTAATTTCCAAATCCATATCTGTGTGTGGCCAGGCTTTTTTCATATGCACCAGATTGAATGAAGAAGCAGATAGGAGAACCCAGCTGTTTCCTAAGCCGGACAAAAAACACGTTTGCAAAGATGTAAAACACTGTGAATTTTCTCACTACTTTTCTATTTTGCAAAACGTGATTATTTCTTTCAAAAATACGTTATTTGTGTTAACATGCAGTGGGTTTACCCTCGTTCTTATTTATATGACTTAATGGATAAGATATTTTAAAATTTTATCAATTTTATTGTAAAATTCTGTAAAATTTGACAGATATAAGCCACAAAAGCAAAGCTCTTTAGGATTTTCAACCAGTTTTTAAGAATGTAAAGAGTCCTGAGATTCAAAGGTTTGAGAGCCTCTTCTAGGAACGATATTGTAAACACTAGTATCAGTTGATGCCTGAGGAAGGGGCAGATGGCGCTCATCCCCCATGCTTTCAGCAAATCCCCACTACTAAATTACGCGCCAGAGATTTAGGGCTTGGGCATATAGTGTCAGAGTGCCCAGGAGGTTAGGGTTTTGTTCCATCAGTGGGAAAGCTGTGCCACCCTGGGCAAGTTCATTTCCTTCTCTGAGCCTCATCTGGAAATGGGGATTCAGTGGTTCCCGCCTGACAGGAGTGTGCGTTGTGGGAACTAAGTGGTGGTGGAGCTGAGGAAGGTGAGCACGGGCTCACCCAAACGGTGCGTGTGCCGGCCCCACGCTCAGCATTTCACAGCCAACGTCTCCCTAAGTCCTCGTGCAGCCCCTAACCCAGTACTGTCACCCCTTCAGGATGCTTGGGAGGGCGAGTGAGACGGTGCCTGCCCATGCGAAGACCGTAAACCCCAAACATCTTCGGCGCCTTCCTATCGCTAAGGGTAAGGACTCTTGCAAAGATCCTTTTCTGAAGGTTAGGGATGCCCGCTGGGCAGCAGGGAGCCTCACACCTGGAGGACAGCACACATCTGGGAAAAGACGCCAATAATCTCCATAACACTCTTTCCCGGCCTCGGGCCAGTGGGTTGTTTAGAAACGTCCAGGGGGCAAGGAAGACCAGCCTGCTGAGGAGCCTGCCCTGCCCGGACCCTTGAGAAACAGGTATCTCACGCTGTACTGGCTCACAGGGGCGGCCAACAACCCCTGCGCTGGTCTGCCTGGCTGCTGGGTAATTTTACAAACTGGTTTTTACTGGCAAGGGAGGTGGGCAGATGTGGGTAATGGAATATTCCGCAAGGTCACAGGATCAGATCTGGCCCGGCTATTGGAGACTTCTGGGATTATCTGCCCTCTGCGAAGCTGTCTATTTTGGGGACCTGGGTCAATGCTTTCAGCCAGGAAGTGTCTGTGAAGCACCTAGTAGGCTCTAGGCACCGTGCTGAATGCTGAAGACACCGTGGTGAGCAAGGCTGATAGAGTTCTCATCCCCACGGCAGGTCACGTGCACAGGTTCTGGGGATCAGGATGGGGGCATTACTCTGCCTGCCTCATGGTGGGGCAGAGCTGCGTCTCCAGGCTGCCCTGTCAAGGCTGTGGGTGCTGCGCTCCTGCATGGACGCGGGGCTAACGACTCGGTCAGCGGCTGGGCTCCCTCTGGCTGCCCCACACGCAGCCACGGACGCGGCCACGGGCCGTCTCCTGCCAGCATCTCCTTTCGTTTCCAGAGCGGAGTCCTCAACTTGACTGCACACTCAGTGGCCTGGGGCCTTGCTGGAGGGCCGGCGGGGCCCGAGAGTCTGCATTTCTAGCCGTTCCTGCTCCCGGGGACAGCATGGCTGCTGGTGTGGACCACGCATGGGAGGGCATGGGTGGAATTTCTGCTCCGTGCTGATCCCCATGGCCTGGAACAGAGGTCGGCACATAGTAGGTGCTTAATAAATACCCAGTGAATGAATGGATTCCCCTTGGTCCCTCCCCTGTCTCTCAGCACCAGGACCTGGCATCTTTCTCTCGCTGACAGGCCCTCTGGAGTTCTGGTGGAGGGAAGGAGCCCGAAAGGCACCAGCTGGAGTGACAAGTAACAGACCCGACAGGCAGACACCGCTCCCTTTCTTCCATGATTCTCTACGTCTATTATTTGTATACTGTTTCACTTGCTATGTGTAACCCAAAACCTCATGTTGTCACACCAATCCCACCAAATCTTCAAAAATGAGGGCCAATTGAGCTGCAGTGGCCCCCTGCCCGCCCCCCCGCAAGGGCACGCACGCATTCACCAGCTACTGTTATGGCCCCCCAAGCTTAGCTCCCCTCCCGCCTCGCACCGAGGTCCAGCCACGACTCAACATGGGCTCTGTTTATTATTCTAGAGAAGCAATTTTCAAGGGGCTGAAATACTTGTTAAAATTAAGGTAAAGAATGTAAACCACAGCCAGGCCGGTTCACCTTGTGCTTCAAAGCCCTCTTGTTTCTCCAGGCACCGCCTCCTGCAAGCTTCCTGCAGGTCTCCATCAGCCCCGGTGAAAAGGAAGGCCGGCCGCCCAGTGGACGGGCAGAGCGGGGCCCGGGAGTGCGGCCCGTCTCCGGGCCTGCACAGCTGTCCTGGGGCAGGAGGCACCTGCTGGGCCCGGGCGGAAGACGGCCCGGGAAGGCTGAAGACAATCAGTGCAGGGGACTTGACAAGTGATGAGGGAAGACGGGAGTGTGCAGCGTCCACGGGTGTCTGAGGGGCCCGACGTGCCCGTGGAGCCGACTCTGTCTCCCAGTGGGTTGGAGGTACATGCCCCTCCAGGCTGAGTCCTGGCATCGCGGAGCCTGGCTTAGGTGGAAGGGCAAGGGTGGAGGACTTTGACCACGTAAACGCCGAAAGGCAGAGCCCTTCAAGGAGAACCACCCAGGACTGCTTCACAGCATAGACTGCCGCCTCTTGTTCCAAAAACCTGCTGCTTCCAAGTGCCTTTTTATTTTCTGCAGACATCTCCCTTAAGAAATGATAACGGGGGAAGGAGGGCTCTTTAGGGAGCTTTAGCCTTGAAAGCCCCTCCTGCAGTTGGAGGAGGGCCCTGGAAGGCTGGGGTGTGCGTGGGGCTCCTGCACTGAGATTCTTGAGAAGGTCTCGCCCTCTCAGCGGGTCCAAATCGGTGGTCCAACTTCCTCTGGAGATTAGATGGGCAAATGGGGAGAATGATTAATTAAAATAAAATGGATGAATCTGAGCTTTTTCCAAAGTGGGCTCAGATTCAAGTTCAGGCTACATCTCCGCGGGCTCTTGGCACCAGCACGGCGCCCTCAGCCCACGCCTGTTAGATGACTCACTGCTTCTGGTGGAGGGGGTTTCAGGACCCAGGTTCCAACCCAGTTCCTCTGCTGTTTGGGAGCTGAGCGATGCTGTGCACGCCCATCTTTAGAACATCGTCCTGTTCACTGTTCACGACAGGGCGAGGACGCTGCAGACCCGACATGGGGCGGGCACTGTGGCAGTAGGTGAGATGGTCAGAAGTTCAGACGGGGCCCTTGCAGCCAGGCAGGTGGGGACCAAGTCCCCTGCCCATTAACTATGGATGCGCCCTCGGCCATGTGTTGAACCTCCCTGAGCTTCAGGCCCCCCTCTGCGAAGGTGTGAATGTGAGGGCACCTGTGAGGAATGCAGTCCTTGGGAGCTGTTTCTGTTCGTGTCTCTGGCATCATCCACTGACCATGAATTAGAAATAAGATGACACATCCAGAAAGCAACGATTTAGGAATACAAAAGGCACCCTTCTGGCCTTGATCAGTGGCCGGGCACACGCTCAGTGAATCAGGGGAGCTATGCTGTAAGCCCCCATCTGAATCTAAAAGCCCAAGAACCAGGAACACTGACGTCCGAAAGCAGGAGAGGGTGGATGTCCCAGCTCAGCAGAGAGAACAGATTTGCCCTTCCTCCGACCTTCTGTTGTACCTGGACCCTCAATGGATTGGGTGACGCCCACATGTTGGAGAGCCATCTGCTTTCAGAGGTTCACCATCTCAGTGCTCATCTCATGCAGAAACACCCTCCCAGACAGAAAACGTGTTTCATCAGCTACCTGGGCATCCCTGAGAGCGGTCGAGGGGACACGTGAAATTGACCATCACATCTGCATGGCAACCCACAGCTTCCCCAATGGCCGTGCAGAGCCCCCGTACCCTGTGAGGCCTGTGGAGCTTGCGGCCGCTGGGTGTACCATTTCCAGCTGAAGAGCGTTGATTTAGACGTCTGCCGGTTTGGAGCCGTCGCCCGTGAGGCTACAGGGGACCCCTTGGCACCTTTCTTTTGGGCGCTGATGTCTGCTTTGCCGCGGGAAAGCTGAGTGAGATTCCTGGGGCCCAGCGGGGCGGGCACTGAGGGTATCACCACGTGGCCGGAGCCCTGTGGGTCGGCTTTGAGCTGTGCAGCCAGCCAGGGCCCTCGCGTGAGTCTAGGACAGACGAGAGACCCGGCTAATGCATTCCTCCTTTGGAACGCAGAGTCCATCACAGGAGAGCCCGACTCCGGGTTTAGCAAACGGAGGGTAATTAGGACAGTGGGTGGTCCTATCGTCATCAGGCAATTAGATCTGAGGAAGCACTCCCCCCACAGAGGACAGCCTGCATTTATTCAGCTGCCGGGTGAGCTCAGCACCCTGCACGCCTATCCCTCCTGACAGCTGCGGGAAGCTTGGGGCAGCGGCATCCCCGGATCCACGTCGGGCCCTGGGAATGCCACAGGGAGCAGCAGCGGCCACCACTCAGGGCTGGGGAGAGGAAGTCTGCGCTTTACTTCTTGAGGGAGACAGTGGAAACGGTTCCCAGAAGGCAGTCTCTCCAGGGACGCTTTAATAGCCGGAGTGGGCGTGGATTCACTCCGTGACATGGGCGTCAGCAGAATTCTATTTATTTATCTGATTTTTCTCAATCAGACAAATCCAATTGCAGCTGTCCCTTCCCTCTCCCCCTACCACGTGTTGCGGTTTGTGAGAAATTTAACCTGTGTCATTTTGCCTTTTTTGAGGCGGGTAGGTAGCAGGGAAAAGTCAACTCACTAGAGACAGTTACCTGTCTTAGGTGGTCTTAAGCAATTCAGAATAGTTGAGGGAGGGGTCTGGTGTGATCTCCACCATGGCTACTTGGAGCCCAAGCACAGCAGCCCACGTGGCTGGTCTAGTGCAGGGCAGACAACTCCACCATAGTCTAAACAAGCGTAGGCCAGGAGCTGGTGGAGGTGCAGGCAGAGGTGACGAGAGCCTGCTGCGGGCAGCCACCCCTCTGAGCACTTTGCAGATGCCCTGCCTGAGTCACCAGGGAAACAAGCACAGGGGCAGGTCTGGGACGCTAAGCAGGCCATTGTAACCACTGCTCTGGAGGGATTCCGGGAGTAATCTAGAGTTGCCAGATTCAGCAAATAAAAATGCAGGATGCCCAGTTAAATGGTAATTTCAGATAAACAACTGTGTGAGTTTCCTAGGGTTGCCATAACAAATCATCACCAACTGGGGGGCTTAAAGCAATAGAAACGTATTCACTCGCTGTCCTGGAGGCCAGAAGTCTGAAATCAAGATGTGGGCAAAGCTGTGCTCCCTCTGGAGGCCCTGAGGGAGGGAGGGACCTTCCCGGTCTCTTCAGGCTTCTGGTGGCTACTGGAATCCTTGGCGCACCTTGGCTTGTGGAAGCATCACTTCAATCCCTGCCTGTGTCTTCATGTGGCCTTCCCTTGGTGTGTCTCCGTGTCTTTACATATTGTTCTTATAAGGGCAGCAGACATTGGATTTAGGGCCACCCTCATCCAGTGTGACCTCATCGTAACTAATTATATCCGTAAAGACCCTATTTCCAACTTGACACGTTCTGATACGCCGGGTGGACATGAATTTTTTGGAGGACACTTATTCAACCCATGACAAGAATGAAAATAGTTTTTTAGTAGCATGGGACATATTTTATACTAAAATTATTCATTTTTTTCTGACATTCAAATATTTCAAAAGACATATTTATACTAAAAATTATTAATTTTTACCTGACATTCAAATATTGCATGGGACATTATTATATTAAAAATTATTCATATTTCATCTGGCCACCCAACTCCTGAGACCCATGGCATCTGTGTCCTGTCCCATCTGAAGTACAGACCAGTGCATTCCCAGGAGAGAGCACAGCCCTTCCCACCCCGAGGCAGTGTCAACACCCCCTGGGCCCTGGTCCCACCCTGCAGGTATAGGAGAGCTCAGACTTTGGAAACTGAGTAATGGTCTCCCCTTCCTGGATGGGGGTGGGGAAAGGAAGTGCTTCACTGAGGTTGCAAAGTAGAAACAAAAAAGGTCAATGTTACCTCTTTTCTCTCCGTCCCTTAGGGCAAGAGCTGAGCCTCTCAACTGTGAGGAGTGGTGGCCTGAAGCTCCGCACTGTGCAGATAAAATGCAGAGGAAGAGTGAGAACCAGGGCTGCCTAGCAAAGTTTGTTAAGCACGGGGCGGGGCGGGGGGGGGGGCAGTGAGGGGACACAAACATCCTCAGCCGTGAGCGTGATGCATTCACGCCATTTGGGCAGCCCCACACCAGGCTGTGTGAGCGGCCGCCTGCAGCCGCGGGGTGCAGTCAGTGCGCCCAGCCCTGGGCACCGTCTCCTATTCTCACGACCACCAGTAGTCCCCTGAGTGTCCCTGTTTGCACCCGAGGGGGCTCTGGGGGGGGTCAGGCAGTCAGTGACAGAGGGAGTGGGATTTGAACCCCCTCCCCTGTGCCTGACTCCGACTCACACACACTCGCCAGCCCAGGCACCGAGCTTGTCCCCCATGTGGTCACGCATGCGTTTATCCACTGCACAGGTGGTTCGTGTGTTTTACCAAGTGCTTGGGGCCACTCAAGGCTCGGGGTCCCTGCAGGAGGCTTCTGGGTGTGCAGGGGGTGATGACTGCACGATGGAGAATGAAGAGGGTGCAGGTAAAAGGGTAACGAGCACGTGTGTGTTCGTCTGTGTGTGCATGAGCGTGTGCATGCGAGAAGGCCTCTATGGGTGAGTGTAGGAGTGTGTGCATATGTGCAGGTGAGTTTCTTTTTTTCTTTTTTTTTTTTTTTGGTGGTTTCCTCTTTATTAATGTGTCTCCTACCTTCCCCCCACAATTTCAGTCCCTTCCATCTACCCCCCCAAAAGAAGGCAGTGAAAAGAAGGGATTGTTGGAGTTCTGAGCCCCTTGGGCAGTTAGAAAGGGAACAGAAACCAAAACACTCAGTGGATGTGACAGGGACTGACAATCGAGAAATCTAAAGCAGAGCGCGAAAGGTGGAAGAGAAAGAGGGAAGGAGTGCTTGAACACGCGTGCACACGTGTATGTGGTGGTGTGCACCTGCGAGTGTAAATGCGCGGGCATGTGATTGTGTGTGTGTGTGTGCTATATCAAATGCAGTGGTCAGAGAAGCTCCCTCTGATGAGATAATGTTCTGGAAGACACCATGTGAAAGAAGTGAGGGAGAGAGCCCTGCTGACTGAGGGGAAGAGTGCAACGTGGTGGCAGCAGCAAGTGCAAAGGTCCTGGGACAGGATTGGGGCCGGTGTGTGGAGGCTCAGAACAGAGCCCGTGTGGCCGGGACTGCGTTTACATCTCACCGCTTCAGCCTTTTTGACACTGGCTCTGTCACCCTGTCAGAAGTCCTCAGGGGGGCATGGCATGGCCAGGGAGCCAAACTGTCCATACTGACTGGCGAATCCTGCACTTCTGACTCAGCAGATGAGAGAAATGTCAGTCTGTAGAGCAGAGATTCGGTAGAAAACCCCAGAGACATCCACTATACTACCTAGGGATTTACCCACCTATTATTAGAGGCTCTAATAAGATAGGCTCTTTGTATGGGCAAAAGAATACACATATTATCCAGAAACCTAAAATGTAATGGCATATTTCTATAATGAAAAAAAACTTCCCCAAACCTGTGAGATGTTTTCTACCACAGCCTTCACTGACGTTAAACCTTCAACATCTGATAGAACAAGACTTTGGTCACATCCAGCTCGACGGGATCAGCCCCAGGGAAGACTTGAGTAGAGAGGATCTCTGGTTATGGACACAGAATAAAAAATGAACAGTGATGAGGGTGGGGAATGGGGAGGTGGGCAGTGAAAGCTGCAAGCTCAGATGTAGGTGGCATTTTGGAATGAAATATTGATTCCTCAATATACAAATTACATATCTGTATGTAAGTCAAATCATTATGCTTAAAATCATTATCACCTTAAACCTACATAGTGGCATATGTCAATTATATCTCAATAAAGATTGTACCTCAAGAAAAAAATACACAGAGATACATAGAGTCTTTCAGAATCCAAGTTTAAAAAGCTGAGCAGTACGTGGTGAATCCTTTGAACCCAGGCACTGGAATCGGACAAACCAGGAGTGGAAACTCAGCTCTGGCCACGTGGCCTTGGAAGTCACTTGAGCTGATAAACGGGGAAACCAGGATTTCACAGTTCCCAGTGTTGCTTCAAGATAGCAGGGAACAGAGTAGCCGTGGATGACAAATGAGACAGAGGAAAGTCTTGAGATGACTACAGTGAATGGAAAGGAAAAAGACAAAGAGAGGAGGTCCCCACAAGCAGAGAGAAGAGGGTGGACCCTGAGGGCAGACGAAGACAAGCCCATATTTGGAGACAGCACCAAACGTGACCTGTTTAGAGACAGGTGGGAACATTCCCCTTAACAAGGAATGAGAAGTGCTGGTGGAAGGGACTCCACACCTCCACATTTCATGGCAGGAGATGATGGAGCAGTTTCCCCAAAGTTCTGAGCCAAAGAAAACAGGATGAAGAATATGAAGCCCAGGTACATTGTCTTTCAAGTATGAAGACAACAAATCGGTATTTTTGAGAACAAAACAAGAAAACACTGAACGCTACACCCATTCATCCCATCAGGGCACTGGAGAATTCCTCGATGACGTGGAGCTAATCCCAAAAGAAGACACTGTGGGGAAGTGATGGGTGATACAATGAAATCCACATAGATTGGGATTCTGCACACTTGGGGCGATTGTTGTTACAGAATAGAATTTACCCTAAACAGTATAAACCCTAAATATGGAACTTTACACCTGGAGGGGATTAGTATTCAGAACACAGTTTATATCGTATGGGTCCCGTCAAAGGACACGTGATACAGGCGGTTAGTGGGGCCGCGTGGAAGCTGGAGCCTGGGGGGAGTCAAACAGCGTTGCCTTAAGGGCACAGCCTTCGGGTCACCCCTCCCCACAGTTTTGGCATCCACTTTTCTTAGCTTTGGAGTGATTTTTAGGAATCACCATCTTTTTTTTCTTTTTTCTTTTTTTAACATCTTTACTGGAGTATAATTGCTTTACAATGGTGTGTTAGTTTCTGCTGTATGACAAAGTGAACCAGCTATACATATACATATATCCCCATATCCCCTCCCTCTTGCGTCTCCCTCCCTCCCACCCTCCCTATCCCACCCCTCTAGGTGGTCACAAAGCACCGAGCTGATCTCCCTGTGCTGTGCGGCTGCTTCCCACTAGCTATCTGTTTTACATTTGGTAGTGTATATATGTCCATGCCACTCTCTCACTTCGTCCCGGCTTACACTTCCTCCTCCCCGTGTCACCATCTTTTGTGGTAAAGAATTATTTTGGCAATTCCCTTGGTGTTACTTTACATTTTTTCAATTAAATTCAAGTAAAAGAAATACATTTTCTTTTTTTTTTTTTTTTTTTTGCGGTACGCGGGCCTCTCACTGCTGTGGCCTCTCCCGCTGTGGAGCACAGGCTCCGGACGCACAGGCTCAGCGGCCATGGCTCACGGGCCCAGCCGCTCCGCGGCATGTGGGATCCTCCCAGACTGGGGCACGAACCCGTGTCCCCTGCATCGGCAGGCGGACTCTCAACCACTGGGCCACCAGCGAAGCCCCTACACTTTCATTTTTAAATAGTGTGGATAGTGTTACTCACATGTATTAACTTCCTCTCTTCAGCTTTCTATTGATACTTGTGTACGTATGTAGGAGGACATTCAAAAAGACAGCCACATTAATATTAATCCCATTTTGGAGGAGTTAATACATTTTGGGCGGTTGGTTGCTTTCTCAGGAATTTCTGCTTAAATTTTTTTAAAAAGCAAGCATGAATGATATTTATAAGAAGCAATTACACCAATACTTAAAAATACACCACTATATGCCTTTCTCGGAGAAAAAGAAAACCACAGTGGAATATATCAATATATTGTACCTCCCTGAAAGATAAATCTAAGTTATTTAATTGTGGAAATAAACCTATAAGCAGGCAAAAAACACTGAATCACTAAACGGAATTCCATTTAAACAAAAGGGTATCTGGCCTAACTCCGAGATACAGATGTCAAATGCTTCCTTTTTTTTTACTTTATAATTTATTCATATATTCAACAAAGTGCCGAGTGCCTACCATGTGCTGGGCATGTCTCTTTTATTTGATGAGAGTCCCCTAGTCTCCTACGGACGAACGACAAGATTACATTTAGACGAAATAAAAGTGAGATCCCAAATCATCAGAGGGTTCACTGAGTCACTGTATACCAAAAGGCAGCTTTGAGAAAGCATCCTCTTGGGAAGGAGCCATGACCGTAATGGCTGTAAATGTTCATGCCCCCAAGATCGCACCTCACTCTTCCTCTAAGACGCAAAATCTCTCAAAAGTTTCCGGAAGAGGAGCCAGATGCACAATGGTAAGAGAGTCTGCCAGCTTTTAGAAGGTCAGGTGATGCAGAAGTGCTGTTGGTTTGACTTACTGAATACACAACGAAAGTTGTATTGAAAAGGGAAACCCCAGGCTGGTGTCATGCCAGACACGACCTCTTCCCCTCCTTCTCGGGGACTAGACCTTCGTTGTGACCTTGGCCTCCTGGGGAGACTAATTACAGCTCAGTCCCCTCTTGCAGGGACCCTGCAGCCCCACTCCCAGCCCCCTGCTGCCCAGTCTGTTGCCCGGTCTAGGGCTGCCTTCCACTGGGTGGTCCCTCCAGCACTGCAATGGCCCTCAGAGTCTGTGGGCCCCAAGCCAGGCCCAGCAGCGCCCCCACTGCCATCATCCCGCTGGATGCTGCGTTAGAGCCTCCCAGGCCACTTCCTGCCGAGATGCCGGGAGGGAGCTGCACTCTAACCTCTGGGTTGTCCAGCCTGTAAGGGCCGGAGCCCAGTCAACCAGCCTTGATCCCGAAGACTGGGAACTCAAGCCTTGAACATCTTAGGGAAAAAAACAAGAAAGACTTTCCTAATTCTGCTGTCTTCCGAATACCACTCTGGATTCTGGCTCCAGCCCCTCTGAGATTGTAAACATCTGGGGGGTGACAGACAGCCTGACCCTGTGACTCCGCCGCAGGCCCCCTGTGGATACGCAGATGACGGGTGGAGAGCGGTCAGCCGTCCCAGCCCGATAAGGGTCCCTAAAAACCCCAAATCAATGGGCAGATTTAGCCTTCTCAAACCACGCCACATACCAGCATCTGTGACATATGGTACAAATAAAATGGGCTTAGTCTTACATCGGGAAGGAGGTCATTAGAGGCAGCTGAAACTGGGAAACCTCACGGCAAAGACGACACGGCTTGGACACGACAGGCTTGGAGACGACACGGCTGCACGTCCAGCTGCGCACGCTCCGTGGGTCAACGCTGGCTTTGCGTCCAGCCTTGGAAGACTCTGCTCCTTCACTGGAGGCTAAATTTGTCCCCGAGCACCCACTGCCCTGTGGAAAACCTGGGCTAAGACTTCAAATATGACCTAAGTCTTGGTCAAAACACAGGCAGGCATTCATGTGAGTAACAGACGTGTCACTGTGTGCCTGCCGCACACAGTGCCCGTGGAGGGGAGGAGACCAGAGCTTCTCCTCTGTTTCAGGACCTGCTTTGGGTCCAGCTTCCCAGCACAGGCCTCCGAGGGTCTGTCCTCCTCTTCTCTCTACTCCCAGCGCCCCAAGTCTGCACTTCCTGTGCATCAGAGCCGGAGGCCACTCCTCAGTTCCATAAGCTCGGGTCTAAATGCACCAAAGAGGAGGGTCCTCCCCCAGATGAGTGCCTCCTTGATAAATGGGAAAGGGCCCCAAATCTCCCACCTGAAAAGGGCCAGGATGTAAGGAGGCCACAGAACACGAGCAGTCATGCGGCCATGGGGACGGGGACCCGGCCGCCGTTTTCAGTAAATGCTTTTACTTTGTTTCGTTTCCCCCTTTCTCTGTCCAGGCTGAAGGGTCACTAACAGCTCCGGGTCCAGAATATGCTCTGGGACAGTCGTCCCCTACCTTTTGCCCTCACAAACTATTACATCCAGCCCCCCACCCCCCCCCCCCCCCCCACTCCCCGGCCTGCGAAAGTCCGCTGAGCCACCTTTGTTTTGTTTGTGTTGATCTGTTTAATTGCACGATTGCTTTTGAGGCTTATTTAAGGAGTGGTTTAATTTGTTTCTTCCTGGTCTCCTGGCCCCGCCCCAGACGTCAGGTCCTAGAGACAAGGGACCTGAGCTGTCATTTGCACGGAAGTGTCTTGGCGCCTGGAATCTAGTGAGCGGCGGCTGACCAGAGGAGGGGGCTGCCCACGAGATTGTGGGGTGCAGCCACGGCGAGCGCTTGGGCTTTAACTTTGACCGTGGCTTTTACCAATGAAACATTCCCTCCCTCTGCATTTTGTCTTAAGAGAAGCAGTAGCGAGCGGTGAAGACCTCGTTGTTTCCATCACCGTGGAAGCTGGCATCTCATCTGGAAGGCACCAGCCCTGTCAGGCTAGGCCCGGCCTATCCAGCCCCCAGATGGGTGTCAGCCTGCTGGGACCATCCCAGCTGGCTGACATTACGGCGGTTACTGTAATAAAGACCAGGGTTAGCTGACAAACTTGGTATTTTCTTATACGGCTGCTGCGAATTTTACAAAGTGTGAGGGCAAGCCTCAGGTCGGCAGCGCTGCAGCAAAACAAAAACACACAACAGAAAAAAAACCACACTGCTGAGGTCAGCTGTTGAGGTTCTCCTCGTGTACAGCTGTTTGAAAAATACAATACAACACAACACAACACAATACA